CAGGCTTGCACCTGGCACGGGCACCGTAGCCAGCCCGTGCCCCTTTAAGGGGTCCGGGACCGGGAGGGGGGCAGACGAGTTTCCCTGGTGTTGGCCAGAGTGGCCACCAGGGAAACCTGGGGAGGGCTATCCTCCCACTAGTTCGAATTAAGGGTCTACACTGCCCTTAATTCGAACTAGTAAATTCGAACTAGGCTTAATCCTCGTGGAATGAGGATTACCTAGTTCGAACTAAGCGCTCCGTTAGTTCGAATTAAATTCGAACTAACGGAGCGCTAGTGTAGCGCCTATGAAAGTTAGTTCGAACTAACATCCGTTAGTTCAAAGTAACTTTGTAGTGTAGACATACCCTTGGATAGGATTTAGCACAGGTTGGGCCCTTTGTATCAATCCAGAACAATGATGTCTTATTCTGGGTTCAAATACAACATTTCCTTGCCCGAGGATGTGGTGAAGGCTAGGACTTTAACAGGGTTCAAAAAAGAGCTAGATGGATTCATGGAGGTTGGGTCCATAAATGGCTATTAGCCAGGATGGATAGAAATGGTGTCCCTAGCCTCTGATTCTTTGGAAGTGGGTAACAGGGAGGGATCACATGATGATTATCTGTTGTGTTCACCCCCTCTGGGGCGCCTGGCATTGGCCACTGTCAGTAGACAGGTTACTGGGCTAGATAGACCATTGGTCTGACCCAGTCTGGTCGTTCTTATGTAAAATCTCTCAAGCCAAATATGTAAGTGTTGAAGAACAATTTCATGGACATGTAGGGAAGAAGACCTCTCATACCAGATAGCTGCTCCAGGGTCTATCAATTAAATGCATATGCACCTGTAAAATGATTATAAATACTTACTTTATGCATATAAATATCAATATACACTTGTTCAGCTGTAAAACCGGCACCTCTGGGTGTCAGCAGCATCAAGGATTGAATTTGGGACATCTAGATCTTAACGTCTGAAGCTCTACTGCCTGAAATAAAACACCCAGCGCCAGGGCAAAATTTGTCAGGGGGGATCGGGCTGAAATATGGTCGCGGCCCCTTTAATTGCTGCATGTCCCGAGTGGACTTCCATCAGGATCTGTTGGCAGCCCCTTGAAAATGGCAGCCCTGGGCGACCACCTGGCTCGCCCGCCCTTAAAACCGGCTATGCCCAGCGCTCTTAGCCAACGTAGTAGCAGACACCATCAACCTCTATTTAACCTACTTCGGGGAGGACAAAGTGCCGCACCAAATAGACCTGGCTTACTCAGGAAATATGTACTTATTATAATACTATGCTATTGACTATTATGGACAAGAGTCTGAAGCAAACAGGATGAAATTCAAACAAGACAAATGCAAAGTACTCCGCTTAGGAAGAAACAAATCAGTTGGGCCCATGCAAAATGGGAAATGACTGTCTAGGAAGGAGTACTGTAAACAGAGATCTAAGGGTCAGAGTGGACCACAAGCTAAACATGAGGAAACAGTGTGACTCAGTTGCAAAAAAATAGCCCACAATCATTCTGGGATGTATTAACAGGAGTGTTATGAGCAAGACTCGAGTAGTAATTCTTCCACTCTGCGCAGATTAGACCTCAACTGGAGTATTGTGTCCAGTTCTGGGCACCACATTTCAAGAAAGAGGTGGACAAATTGGAGAAGGTCCAGAGAAGAGCAACAAAAATGATGAAAGGTCTAGAAAACATGAGCAATGAGGGAAGGTTGAAGGAATTGGGCTTGTTTAGTTTGGGAAAGAGAAGACTGAGAGAGGACATGATAGCAGTTTTCAAGTACCTAAAAGGAGAAGGGAGAAAAATTGGCCTTTCATGATAGGTCAAGAAGCAATGGGCTTAAATTGCAACAAGGGAGGTTTAGGTTGGACTTTAGGAAAAACTTCCTACCTATCAGGATGGTAAAACACTGGAATAAATTGCCTAGGGGGTTGTGGAATCTCTATCACTGGAGATTTTTAAGAGCAGGTTAGACAAGAGTTTAGCAGGATACCAAAAAAAAATTGGACAGTTACATAGATAATGATAAATTCACATATACATTAGATCAAAATCCCAGGGTATAAAGCATCATTTCTTAGGGCAAAGAGGATCCAGTAATTGACTGGAGATAGGAAAAAACTTTCCTCGGCGATCAAGTTACTCCATAATTGTGCACTGCATTATTTTCCCAACCTTTCTCTACAATTGGCTCTGGCCCCCATCAGGGAGGAAACAGAACTAGGTGGATCCAGTATAATAAATCATGTGGCATATGGTCTTAAAGGGTGGATGTTGGTCTATTGAAAACAGAATAATTTCCAGGAAGGTTCATGAATTACTTATTGCAGAAGTATAATATAATGTGCTGTTATTAGGAATTAAAAATAATGATTCGGTAATCGATATTAACAAATATATAGGACTAGAGTCAGTGATCTTCATCTCCCGTAAACAAATATTCATGACGTTATATGAAATCATATGAGATACAAGGAAATAAAAGTGTCGGATTAATACTTAATTGGAAGGGGAGCAAATAACAGCTAAGACGGAAAAGCCACTAATGATTAAATATTGACAGAGAACATCATTTTTACCTTCCAGTAAAAAATTACGCATATTAAGGCTAAGGATGTGTAAAGGGTTCTATTTAGTTTTGTTAACTGAAAGACTGGGCCGTTTTTGCAGAGTTCTCGAATTTTCTGAAATAATGTCTCTTGTGTGTAGGACCATTGATTCTCTGTACAAGGAACTAGTAGAAGAAGGATTACTAATAAAGCCCAAGACAGTGAAACTCTCTGATTACGTTGGTAATGTATACATTTTTAAATGTCTTGCACCTCAGAGCTAATGTAGCTCTTGAATATACTATAACACTGAATCCACAGTGCACTCCGGTCATAGCAGTTTGGCTGCTTATTAAACTCCAGTGAAAAGAGATTAGATGAAAGAGCAAAAACTCAAATCAGAATAAATTCAACCCTTTTTGCAAGATTTAAAATGGGGATTTGTTTTCTGCAGTTTGAAACGTGCTTCCATGCCACTACTTTGCATTCCTTCTCTTTCTGGCACCGAGCAAAATTCAGGAATGGCATTCTCAAAGCTGCACAATGGCTTTACACACTCCCTCGGGTATGTCTACACACAACTTTTATTTCGGAAGAAGGATGCAAATAACGCTGCGCATTTGTATGCTTCCTCCAGTTTTTTTTCAGAAGATGCTCTTCCGGTATTTACACGCGTCTACACGCGGCCGAATTTTGAAATAAACCCCTATTTCGAAAGACCCCTGTAAACCTCATTGTAGGCAGAATAAGCGGTCTTTTGAAATAGGGGTTCATTTCGAAATTTGGCCATGTGTAGATGCAGGTAAATACCAGAAAAACGTCTTCCAAAAAAAACCCAGAGGAAGTATGCAAATGCACAGCGCTATTTGCATCCTTCTCCCAAAATAAAAATTGTGTGTAGACATACGAGATTGCTTTGGGACATTCACTAAAACTGAACAAGCTGCAATACGTCAGGGGGAAAACCACTCATGTAAAGGACAAGAATTAAAGTGCTTCTCAGTACCAGCATGCCCCGTGCATCTGGCCAGTAATATGTTCTGTCTCTAAGCAGGAAAAACTGGAGTCTTTGGTATCAGCTGTAAGTGCCTTGCTTGTATAAACTGCTACAAGCCGTATTTATTGCCAGCAGAGTCCTTGCCCACTCTAAAGAAGGCTAAATTAGCTGGCACTGCTATTCTGTTCATTGCACTCTCATTAAAGAGAATCGAGCACTATGAGTAGTAATTGCCATGACTATTGGACTAGTCCAGCCACTACCAGCTGTCTTCCCAAGGTCATTATGCCTGACAGATGTTTCAGCCACAGATATGCTGAACGATCATGTGGGCCAATTGGATTGGTTAGTGGCTGGTAACGTGGTAGAATGGTGTAAAAATCCATTTACGATTTAAAACAACCCCCTCGGCACCAAAGCCTCCAGTGCCCCAACTGGAGAGATAGTCTGGGGGCACTGCATCGTCTTTGTACTCCCTTGAGCCTGAAGCTGTCAGGGGTCTGCGTGGCTCCCGTCATAGCTTAGCATGGCCTCGGGGCTGCTCTAAGGTATGTAAAAGCCATGGCTCTGGCTGGAGAATCACTGGAGTACAGGGGCACACACCCAGCATGTACCCACACGGCCCCTGCTCCAGGAGGGAGGGAGGCAGAGAGCTGCCAAAGACAGCTCTGCCCAGCAGAGGGTTTGCTCATGTTCAGGCAGTTCTCAGCTCTCCGCTTTGGGCCACTTTAAGTCCCGCTTGGACTGCCAGAGTGATGCAAATGGTGCTTAGCCTGGCCAGGAGGGGGGACCTACAACATTTGGCTTGATATTAAGTCAAAAGCAACGTTGAAAGTTCCAAGGTTCAAGTCCTGGCCCTCTTTAGCGCTCAGTCCTGAAGTCCTAGAAAGGTCACTTGCAGGACGTCTACAGTACACGGTTATTTCAGGATACCGAAGGTACCCAAAGGTACCCCGAAATAGCTACCCTGCATCTACACAAGCCGTCCATTATTTCAGAATATTTTTTGAAATAACGAGAGCACTATTTCGCCATCCCGGTAAACCTCATTGCACGCGGGATAAGGGATGGCTTGACATAGCGCATTATTTCAAAATTTGGCACTGTGTAGACGCACTAAATTTCAAACTAAGCTATTTCGAAATCAATTCAAACTAAGATACGCAATTTGTGTAGCACAAATTGCGCATCTTATTTCGAGTTTCGGATGCTGTGTAGACACACCCGAGCTCTCGCACAGGTCTTGGGGAGAAGACAAAGGGTGGAAGTGAGCAAGAAGCCACATCGTGAGTAAAGCTACTGAAACCTCCGTCCCTCTGACACACTGACATTGCTGAACTAATTTTCCTGGTGACCTTATCGAAATTAGTCAGAGACTATCCATCATGATTTATGGTCAATTGCAATTAAAGCCTTTGATGCCTTCTAATTAAATCTCCGAAGATTAATTTCTAGCCAGTTCTTTTGATTTGTCCTTAAATAAAAGATAAAACCTGAAATGAATTTTACCCTCAAAGCGGGCGGGAAGGCTATATCAGTGCCTGTCCACCTCCCTTGCCCAAACTATGACTATACTGTATCTCTCAACTCTCTCTCCTTTTAAAACTAATTCAACATCTAGCCCAGATAAGCTGGATGGTCTGTCTTCCTCTGTACATTATCATCAAAATACAAAATAGCCTTAGCTGCAGAGCATGTTATTTATGATAAAGAAATTAATCCCTCTTGGATGCCTTTTTCCTGCACTATTAGTGTAGGTCTGACTGGAACTGGAGGTGAAATTTTTAGCTCACAGTATAGTCTTAGGTTACGTCTAGAATGCAGCGCTTTTTCGGGATACAAGAGGTATCCCGGAAAAACAATGCTGTGTCCAAGGAACGTTTGAGAAAAGCGGACACGTTCTTTCGCCATCCTTGTAAACCTCATTTTATGAGGAAGAAGAGATGGCTCGAAAGGGCGGGTTTTTCTGAAATTTGGCACCGTGTAGACACGCCAACTTTCGGAAAAGCCTCTTTTGAAAGAAGAGCGGAAAAAGATACACAATTGCGGTTCACAGTTTGTGTACCTTTTTCCAACTTTTCGTTATTGTCGAGCTGTATCCTGAGTGTCAGGAGTACAATCCCGTATTTCACTTGTGTTTAGATAAAAAAGGTGAATTGCAATGCAGAAAACAAACACTGAACCAAACAGAGCCTGCAGTGCCACATTCCCGTTAAGGTGTGGTGGGTGTTACAGAGGCTGTTAAACACTATCTACTCCCTTTTTAAAATCCCCAGGTCCATCTTGTTTCATTGGCGATTCCAAACATATGACATCGCAACTCCCTACATTTTTACTATTGATGTGATTTATGGGATCAGGAATGATTCTTCTCGGAGCCACAACATTTCTTTAAAAGGCTATTTAAAATGTATTTCTCTACTGAACACTCCACAACCTGCTTAGTGGGTAGAGCTAGTAAAGGAATGTGTGCTTAACTTCGTTTTCCTTTTAGGCCTGTAACATTCCCGTATTTAAGTCCCTTTCCCGGGACAGCGCTGAGTTTGCGCAGAGCGTGCTAAATTTGTAGTCCACGGTCGTTTTTTTCATTATTCAAATTATGCATTTGATAACAATACAATGTCACATTTATTAAACCCATGCTTCCTCCCTGCAGGCGAATACAGCTATCTGGGGACCACACTTCGTCAGGTAGATATAGAGCCAATGCCCTCTCTCACAGATGTCAGACAGCTAATCGCACTGTATGGAATATTGCCATTAGGTAAGAGCACAGAAAAAATTACCGAAGGGCAGAAGACGATGGTTTGCTTCCTGTCAGCAACATACATTTTTACTGGCTTTGACAGTGCTTGATGGATCGTAGTGTAAAGCATTTTGCAGTATAATTGTTTTTCAATTAAGGATTCTGAGTGAAGGGCATTCATTTTAATAGTGTATCAAAGAGCAAGCACATGCAATTGTCAGGCATTGCATTTCTTTACCATTTCGGCTTGCATTTTAACACTTTGTGAATGGCAGCACGGAAAGGAAATCACATGGGAAAGATAATAGCTAAAACAAGCGTCAGTGATTAAAATCAATCAAGTTAAGGGAAGGGCTAAGGTTGCAATTTACCTTTTACAAGCTGGCTAATGTTACGGGGAACTAAACAAGGTAAGCATTTAAGGAATTTGTCTGAGGAGATTTCAGATAGCGGGGAGAGAGCACTTTGAAATGTCGTCGGTTTAAATGCCAGCCGCTATTAATATGAAACAAGACTTTAGCTGGGATTTTTTTAAACAGACTGTCTACCCCAATATTTTACTCACGGCTGACTGGATGACTATAGGCCCACCTTGGGGAATACAGGCACTTACTGCACAAAGGGGCTTTCCATGGGGTATTTATAATGTTCTTTCGGAATGTTTGCACTTTTGGCAGATCTCTGTCAGTGGACAGGCAAGTCCTCAGCCAGTCAACTCAATTCAAGGTCACCTCATTCTCGGCCACACAGTCCACTTGTTCCACCTCAGGCCAGGTTGCCCTGGCTCTTGTTGTAGTGTTGGGACAGAGGGGAGTAAGAAGGCCCTTCCCAAAGCTTGGAAAACAGGGAGCGAGAGCTTCCCCTCAAAGGCATTGTCCTTCAGTAGGCTGCATTAGTAAACTTGACTCCTCCAGGATGAGTTCTAACTATACATTACATGGGACTTTGCAGTCAGTGTAGACAGGCGCCTTCATGTTTCAGACCTTGTCAGCTGCTTATTGGTTAACTCTACAAGAACCACAGGTTTAACCACACAAGCTGATACCCAGGTAAACATGACGGCCCCGTCTCAGCTCCAAGCTCATGTTTTAACCGAATTTTCCAGAGCAATCAAGCCCAAAGACTGTTCCTGCCAGGAGGTGCCCATAAATCTCCTCCCATTGTTTGGAGAGAAACCGAGAGAGAAGAAAATGCCCTCAACTAGTAAAACACACAAAGACTATGTTTGCAATAGCAGTTTGAGAAATGTCTGTGTGTAGAAAAAAAATTGCCCGAAGCCAAAAACATCTCAGGAATGATTTCACCTTTGGGTGGTATTTTACGAATGACATTTTATTTAACTGGCCTCAGAACTGCGTGTTGGTGCGCAGGGGGTGTTGAAAGGAGACTTTCTAATGGAAGGTACATTTCTTTAGAGGTTGGTAAGGTCACTACATGGTGGATGGTGCTGGAATAAAGGCTTATGATGGCATTCGTCTTAACACTTTGTTGATTGTCATGTGTTTGGCTACTTTAAGTCATTAACACATTGATGGGTGGGGATTTTTTTTTTTCATTTTTAATAGCACTGGCAGCTAATCAGTTGTCTCTCCTGTGCTGGTTGTAGGCGTCGGAGTTTCCCTTGCTCTCAGTACCTGGATCAGAACCTTTCCAGAACTGGCAAAGCTCTCTCAGGGCATGTCTACACTAGGAAATTATTTCAAAATAACATTCCAAAATAATAGCTCCCGAAATATCTATTTTGAAATAGCACGTCTACACTACAGGGAAGCCCCAATGTCCAAGGCAAGCTCCCTTAATGTGGACACGCTACCTTGCCTTAGAGCCCCAGGAAGCACGGGGGAGTAATTACTCTGAATGACTCTGGGGAGTTGTTATTTCAAAATAGCAGTAGCGGAGCATCCCACACTCCCACTATTTTGAAATAACTATTTCAAAATGAGCATTATTCCTTGTGGAAAGCAGGGGTTATTATTTCAGAATAACCAGCCTCGTTATTTCAAAGTAACAGGTGTGG